CTCTTATGTTTTTAAACTTATTTGACATACATGCAACGCGTGCCTTCTGTGCATTCATTATTTTAGTCTTTGCGTAATTTTGTGTATTCATTGCATCGTAACCATATGATCCATTAAGTGAAATTTTGCAAAATAAACCTTTTCCTTTATTTCCTTCTAATTCAGCCTTTTGTCTTTCGTTCATAAATTCGTTCGCAAATTCATTAAAGCAAGTGTTTTTCGTAAATGTTAAAATTGATTGAATATCATCAATGATAAAATGAAATCTATCTATTAGATACCAAAGATAATAAGAAGAAAATGGTTGATATTGGTTGTGTGTTGATGCTAACTGAGTTAATTTCCTCTGTTTCTGGTCAACTGGTAAATTGTTTGATTTCATGTAATCATACATAAAACTGCCAATTGTTTTTTCATCTGTGATAATATCTAAGTTTCTTATTATCGGTAAAAAGTTTATGTAATCATTAATGTATTTTTCATCAATGTGACCCTTTACTTCAGCCACGAATAAAGTATTTTTCTTCTTAATTATTCCAGTGCTTTTGCTTTCTTTGTTGCTGTATCACAAATGATAACACCATTCAATCTTCCCGGCATATACATTTTATGGTCAGTATATTGAATGAAATCATGAGGATTAGATGAAAATGATGAAGGATATAATGAATTAAAGTCAACACCAACGAAATGAGTCATAATGTTGGTGGTGTCCTCATTTGATACAGTTTTAGTTTCTGGACTATATGAAAGTTTATTAATGTGCGTGATTCCTTTAAGATTAACACGATGTTGAACATTTGATAAACCACCAGTAATACCATTACGGAGAATGTGATAAGCTTCAACTGAATCTAAAGTCATTGGTAAATTATTTTTTAATGCATAATTTCTTAAATTGATTCTTAAACGTTGAACATCTTCATCTTTATTTGATTTTACGACATTGCAATAACAACACATTAACTGACAATTTTCTTTAGTATGTGGTTTTTCATTATCGATTCTATCCAATGTTGGTTTATTTGCATATGTAAACGCTTTACCACACATTTTGCATTTAGATGAAAGGATTAAATCGTGATAATATTGAAAATCATCCATTGAAACATTATTTTTAGTATCTCTTTCTGCTTTTTCATCTTGTTTCTTATATGATTCAATTTTATATTTCCAATACTTTTTCGTTAATTCAAAACTTGATTCTATCTCTTCCTCAGGATATTTTTCATTAGGATTAAGGTCTTTATATGCTAAAGCGTAACGAATCATTGAAGCATTCGATGATAAAGAAAGATTATGAAGCATGTCAATTTTATAAACAAATGTTTCTTCAATAATTTTATCAATTGGGTCAATCATAATTTCAACATCTTTATTGCAATAATGAATAAAATATTCTAATCTATTCTTAAAGTTTTTAGCATCATTGAGATATATTTGATAATCACTATCTGATATAGTTTCTTGAGTTAATGCTGAATAAAATGAATCTTGAGTGAATGGTTCCACTTTATATAATTCTTCTTCGTAATTTTCCCACGTGATGAATTGATAAGGGAAAAAGGATTTAACACGTGATTTATTGTTTCCGAAATCTTGAGTGAATTGGTCTAATGTCCCACCCGCTATATAATTTCTGATGTCAATAAATCTCAATTCATATGGAGCGTTTGTTTTCTTTACAATGATTTGCTTAAATTGTGAAGATGAACCCAGCATTGATTTTATTTTCCATTTTGCAGTGTTTAAATCACGAAGAATTAAATTTAAATCAAACTTTCCCGAATTAAAACCTATGATATTCACTTTATTGAATTCCTCATCTAGAAGTTCTTTAAATGCTTCCTTCTGTTTTTCATTTAATGTATGGGACAAAGTCCCCGCCGTTTGGTCTGAAAGACCTTCAGGACTCAAAGAGTCCGTTTGCGGCTTCATTAATTCATTGTATTGACTCATATTTGATTTAGCAACTAATGAACAGGTTGAAAATAAAAACTCAATCCAGTCAGAAATAAAAGAATCACTTGAAGTTAAGCAAAAATTCCTTGTATACGTTTTATCATTTAATTTAACCGTTGATGATACCATGAATGGTTTTAAGTAAGCGTTCAAAGTTGCACACTCAGAAAGTTGTAATTCTTCTTTAGTCTCTAATGTTTCAAAGTCAAAAGTAATATAATATCTTGTCGGTTGATAATATTCCTGCAAATTATGAGCTAATAACCACTGATATATCTTCTGTTTCGTAATATGTGGTGCATATGGTTGCTGTGTCTTTGCAACTGAACGTCTTGAATTAATCTCCCATTATTTTCTTTACATTTCTCACAATGCTTTAAAAATCTTCTTTGGTTTTTCCTTTCTGGATCATCACGGATTGAATAAACTTCTTCTTTACAATATGGACAAACTTTATAGCCGGTGAGTGCTTCAACGTCTGTTATTCTGTCAGCGTGAAGTTTTCCACATGGACTCTGTGTTAATAAAATATTTACTGTTTCAAATTCTGGATCTATCATTATTGATTCCACTAATGGAAAGTCTACCTTATTTATGTCCACGTCTTCTGGTTGAGGATCACAATAATAGAAATCAATATTAACATTTAACATTCTCGCTAATCTCTCACTTTCTGATGAAATGTCAAACCCCTCATATGCATCTATTGCTTCATTTAAATAGCTTCTACGAGTTTTAGGATTAACACCATCAGGAATGTTATAGAAGCGTTTAAATAACCTTCTACCTTCTGCTCTAATTTGATTATCATTCATTTTAGCTGTTCCGTTTTTGTTCATTTATGAAAGAATAAAAAAATAAAGTTTATTTTTTAAAGTCCGTAAAATGAATTAAGAACACATAAATTTTTATCATCTGCGACGTGACGAATACATTTTAATTTACTCAAGAATGCGTACCCGGATACATTAAATCTAATTCCTGTCTTATTTAATTTCACAACTTTGAAAAGGAATGTATGAATAGCTATAAAATGAAGAGAAGATGTTTTATGGGTTGCTTCCATTTTTTCTGAAATAAATGAATAAATATAATGCTTATATGTTTTCATATCTTTTATATTCTTAATAACGAATGGTATAGACCTTTCCACTTCATCTTCCTTCGGTGCTGTTCTTTCATATGAAACATTATTAGTATCTTCAACAATGAAACCACAATCACATAAAATTTTATATGTTCCAATGGTTTCTTTTGATATTTTATCTAATAAATCAAAAACTTTATCAACACCTGTGCATTTATTTAAATAATAATTTGTGTAAATATCATGATCTTCTTTCTTAATCGTATTAGTTGCATATGTCACGTTTTTAAGAACTTTTTTGAATTTCTCAGAATCAAGAGGGAGTGAAAGTAAGATACAAGGGTATTTTTCATTATCAATAAATTGTAACTTATGTTTACGTATAAATTTGGTACCTTCTTCTGAAAGTGTTTCGTCTATTTCACCATCTAATAAATTTTGTGTTGATTCTAAGACATAATTTTTATATCTTTCTTCATGAGATTTCTGAACTGTTGATTCTGAAGCTGGGATATTCATTAAATCCTCTACTTCATTTTCATTATATTTTTCAACTTCTCTTAATTCTTTAATTTTTTCATCTATTTGATCTCTTATTTTTTTCAGTTTTTCAATTTCATCATATTCATCATCATCTTTAATCCGTTCTTCATAATATTCAGGGAAAACATCAGGTTCTTTAGGTTTTTCTTCTTTAGATGAGGGATATAAGAAATTTATAACATCATCTTTATTCATTTTTCCATCATAATCAAATTCATTTAAGAACTCGGCAAATTTTTGGCAATTTCTTAAATAATATTTACTAACTTCATAACCCGCCTCCTCTAATATATCCTTTATTTCCCCGTTTGTGAATCCTAATTTTTTAACACTGTTAGTGTTGACGCTCATTTCATACGAATTAAAAAATAAATTCAAATAATCATTAGTTTCTTAAAGTTCAATGATGAACTCATCAAATTCATCTTCAGCTTTATTATTTAATTTAGGTTTAAATTTCTCATCAAAACAGAAGAAATCAAATGGTGCGAATTTTAAAATTAATGATTTATTTTTTAATGATTTATTTCATTATGTATGGGTTGAGTGTAAATGTCTTACAATTTTGAAAATTTTTTAAATCTTAATTTATTCAAAAACGTAAGAATAAAAACCGTAAGAATCATACATTTTTTCCACTCCATATGTTAAAAAAAATGATACAAAATCGTTCAATATTATATGAATTCTTATGGTTACAAAAAAAGTCACACAACCCGCCCTCATATACTACTATTATTTTAAAATTAATGTTAATTTTTTAAAATGTGTTTAGTATATAATATTTATTACTAATTTATTTAATAATGTCGCGCTTTCTTACGAATTCATGACTTAAAAAACGTAAGAAAAAATTTTTATATCATCTATATATAGAAGATGTGAAAATATACCTTCATCTATATATAGACGTAACAAAAAAAGTCACACAACCCTTCCTATCCTACTACTAATATTCAATTTTTCTTCAATGAGGTGTTTCACCATTATTATTGGTTTATCCTGAATAAAATTCAATTTCCTTCTTTAACAACTCATTTTCTCAATTCTTGCCATCATGGAATTTTTATCATTTCAAATTTTCAATTCTTTTCAAAAATAGACAATTTTTGTCAGCTTTTATGTTTCATGATGACTCATCGTTTTCCAAATAAAATGCATTAAGATGTTGTAACTAAATAAGGATTTGAATTAAATCATTTTTATACATTTCTGACATTTCAGTTTTGAATTATCGATGTCAATAATTTAAAAAATCATGGTTTTAATCAATGAAACGTGCAATTTTCTAAGTAGAGTAGGCCATGTTGGAGGAAACGACACATTCAAATTAAATATTAACAATACAACCATTAAGGTTCATAAAATCTCTCTAATTTGTTCTTCAAAGCTGATTTATGAAAAATTTATGCTGGATAAATCTCTGAATTCATATAGTCTCTACATATTTCTCAGTGGCAACTCATGTATCAACATTTTGGCCAATTTTTTAGATAATGGAATTTTCGAAATTGATGACAAATCGAATGAATTCTTAGATCTCTTTCATATTGCAAGCGAACTCAAAATAGATGCCATTCTTAACTATTACCATAAAAATGTCCAAGTATCTAATGAATTATCACTGAAAAACGTCATAGATTTTTATGAAAAAGCAATTTCGAGTGGAGATAAAAAGAAACAGAAGAACTGTATCGATTTTATTGCTAAAAACTTCCAAAAACTTGATCAGTCTGCGTTAAAAATACTGATGTTACACCATGGTTTTGATTTTTGTGAAAGAATCTTAACCAATGAATTACTCCAAGTCAATTCCGAAGATGACATATGCTCATTTATTGTGTCTCTTTGCCAAAAAAACCATAATTTCACTGATTTACTGCATTATATTCATCTTGAATTTTGTAAACCAGAAACAAAAGATATGGTTTATAATTTTGGCAGAGATAACAATCTTCAATCGGTTCTGTATGAGGTTTTCTATAAAACAATTAGAAATAGAGAAAGAAAACCATTAGAAATTTCAGAACAGTTTTATCAGAATATTGATACCATTACTACACTACCAGACATCAACATGAAATCTTCTTCTGCTCAATTAGGAAATCTATCAATGATTAATAAACCAAATTCAGATTTCGTTACATTTGATGAAGAAAAGTCATAGGTTGAAATAGACTTAAATGGAAGGAAGATGCAGCCTAACATATACCAGCTCAGATCAAGAATGGCGTCGTTTGATCATATTCTCCAAAATTGGGAACTAATCGGAATTGATGACAACGGAAATGAAGTTGTAATTGATAAGAAAACAAAATACAAACTTGATGTGCACAATCCAACATCTTTTTATGTTGAACCTAAAGGATTCTTTAGTAGGTTCAAACTTCTTCAACTTGGTCCAAACACCAAGGGCACAAATCATTTAGCTCTGAATGTTTTTGATTTGGGAGGCCAAATAATATAAACTTATAAAAGATATTATTTTTTTAAACCTTACTATCTTTGAATAAACAATAATATTGAATCATATATTGTTATTAAATACTTCCATCTCGAGAATTTCTGATAATTTGAAGTTAAAAAGGAATGATAAACATAATAATTCTATAATTTGACTTGATATTCCTAACACATACTGGAGTCTTATAGCCTGTAGTGGAATAGTGAAATATAGTCTGAGGATCATGTTAGATGTTGAGAATCTAAGAAAGATATTTAAGTTTGAGGGGAAAATAATCGTTAAATTTAGGGTTGTTATGACACGCGCTAATATATTTCTTCTTTAATTTATGATCACATATAACTTTAAGTCATAATCCTCGAATATTAACGCATATGGTAGTATTTTATTTTTGAAAAATTTGATTATCCGAGTAAATCTTTATCAAATATTCGAAAATGAAATAACATATGCATAATTTAATGACCGATCGAAATTTAAAACTCCATTTAACCAGGAATTCGTTAGTTTATTTTTTTTAATATAATCGGATTTCGATATTTTGAATGGAATTTATTATACATACGATGATAATTACATTTATCCATTAATAAAAAAATTCATGAAAAGTACTTCAGAAAAATTTGAAAGATACATTTTTTTCTGAATTTACAAAAATATGAAAAATGAATAAATTAAATTAACTATTTACATTAAATACTTTCGAAAATCTTATGCAAATTTTGAAAATACGAAGAAAAACTCCAACATTTTCTCATCTCATTAATGACATGTAATTTCAAAGAGTTTCATTAAAAACCGACAAAAATGCACCAATATACTTTTGAGAGAATTTAGAAATTCAATGATTCACAATTTTTTATCGGAAACTTATAACCACCGAAACAAATGACAGGAAAATAGTATAGAATTGAAATCCAAGCATAATACAGTCATTCAATTTGTATTTTTTCGAATTCAAAAAAAATTTGAACAAATTTCTTCTCCGATATGCACAAACAATAAAAATATACCTGAATGATTTTGCAAACTTTTGAATGTGGACAAAATTCGAGAGGATCAAGCCCATAAAGATTTTGTAGCACGTTACGGATATAATTACTTAATAAAATATCAGATTTATTCTTTACCTTGATTTAGTTGACGAATATTTGTGACATCTTTGAATTCATCAATGACTTTTTGAGTTTGTTTATCTTCCATAAGCTTGAAACTATGTTTGCCAAGTTTTAGAGGTGGATCACTCATCAAAAATGACGGGAGTAGCAAAATATTCAAAATTTGAAATAACAATTAAACCAAATCTAAATATTTGGACAGTGATACTGTGCCATGATAAATTTCTAACGTTGTCAATGCATGGTTGACCATTTAAATTTTGATTTAATGATATTGTTTATCAATAATCTGTTGAAATTTCAAAATTTAAATATTCGTTTCTAAAAGTCAATAAAGATATTCGGAAATAAATTCTGAAAAAATATCCTATTGAAAAATGAATTATATATCGCTTTTGTTTGCGTCACTTTTATTTTTCTTTACAAAAAACCGTTTTCTAAAGAAATATAAAAAAAAATTTTAATGGAAGGAGAGATAATAGACCAGACCCTTGCGGATCAAGAGAAGTTCGATCATAACTTCCCCAAAGTTTTCTCTTGCTATCGCGTTGTGAAAGTTATCAATCACGGTTCATTTTCTGTTGTTTGCCTAGTCGAAAATATTCGAACCCTTCAACAGTACGCATGCAAGATTGTCAGTCGGCAAACGCTCAGAGAAAACGAAACTATCCAACACTTCGAACAAGAAATACGCTTTCATCAATCTCTTAAACACAAGAATATATGCCAACTTTATGAAATTGTTTACGAGCAAGACTTTATTTTCCTTATCATGGAATATTGTGCCAATGGTGAGCTATTCGAGTTGATAACTAAAAGAGCGAGATTACCTCAATACCAAATCCGGAAATATTTTTCTCAATTAGTAGCTGCAGTTAACTATATTCATTCGAAGAATATTGCTCACAGAGACCTCAAGCTTGAAAATATTTACCTTACAGAAGACATGGATATACGTCTCGGTGATTTTGGTTTTTCACATAGTACAGAAAAGCAAGCTCTCCTTTCAACTTCATGCGGTTCTATTTACTACGTTGCTCCAGAAGTCATCCGCGGAGAGCAGTACGATGGTCAAAAATCCGATATTTGGTCATTAGGAGTTATATTATACATAATGTCAACTTCGGCATTACCATGGACTGAGCAGAATCAATCAAGGCTATTTCAACAAATCGTTTCGGCGTCGTATAAAATCCCTCAATTCGTTTCACCTGAAGCTGGCAATATAATACAAAGTTGCCTTAATCCAATACCGTCGAAAAGGCCTTCGGCAGCCGATCTGATGAGTTCTTCTTACGTCGAAGGATATTTCAAGAACGCAGACCTCAAGGAAGACCAAAATAGAAATACGACTTCTTTTAGCGTAGTCAAAAAGAGAGCACTTATTATTCGTCCTAACCCGGCAAGCGGATGTAGGGCGTCTCTAAACCAGACAAATTCATTAATTATGAGGATTAATGATACAAAACGATCTCGCGAAAGAAGGGCAACGCAGGAAGCCCCTGTACACGGAAGCAAGCTCTTAGAAAGTTTATAACATTATTTTGTGTTTTTTCTTATAAATTTTGTTCTGTTATTTTCCATCTCAAAAATTATAGTCCAATCCTTTTTATTGTGATTCTTTACAATATGACATAATATTTCCACAGACTTCTCTCTTTCGACTTTTCTTTATTGGTTGGATTATTATTTCGATGTTGAGTTTTTCCAATAATTCTTTTAATTTTGGTGGCCTAAATTAAAAGACATTCTATATTGACTATTACTTTTCCCTAAAATTTATTTTGTTTAAAATTGAATAGTTTACAAATGCAATTCAATTCCTTTTCTTTTCTACTTTATGGAAGGATTTCGCCTTCTATCACACAATTCATATAACTTCCGTTAGATAAATATATTCTCTGTTGATCTTTAATAGATATTTATAGTTTTGGATATAGAAAATAATGAGTGGGTCCAGGTTTTGTATTTTTTAAGACAGTGGCATGAATTTTCAAATTTTGTGTAAGCTTTCCTTCACCATTTCTAGCCTGAGAAAAGATCTTATATTATGAGTATATAACATAAGATTAGAAGATGTTGAATAATGAACCACTCTTATATTTTCTACTTTTCCATTGACATTATGCTATTTTATATCAATAAACTTAATAAAAATACCTAATTTAATATCAAAATCCGTGATATTATTGTTTTTCCCATGGATAACATACAATTTTTTCTCTAAATGAATAATAAATATATTTTATGTGTTAAAATACAAATGCGCTATTTTTAAAAACTATTAATGTCTAATCAAGATGTTCATCCAAACAAATCTGAGGAACAGCGAAGCAAGTATAAATACTACATTGATTTATATATAGCATTGCATCAGCTGAAAACTGAAAAAGAAGAAGAACTCACAAAGATTTACAAAAAGATCCAAACCGAATTGATCGATTCAAAGAAATTCCTACCCCAACTTATTGTTGAAGATATTTTAAATTTCATTTCCTGCAATAATCGCTATACAAAGTCATATTTATCTCTTGCGAAATTCATATGCGATGATTATCATGTCTTAGAAATCAACAGTGTTAATATTATTTCAATCTTCTTGTTTTGAACTTCTTCTTTCACATGGAGCAAACATCAATGAAAAAATAATGATGGACAAACAGCTCTTCATATTGCAACATATTATAATAGTAAAGAAACAGTCGAACTACTTATTTCACATGGTATAAATATCAATGAAAAAGATAATGAAGGACAAACAGCTCTTCATATTGCAAGGCTTAATGATAATCAAGAAATAGTCGAACTTCTTTTTCACAAAGTTTCTATGTAGATCACTTGAATAAATGAATGAGATCCTGATCCAGGATCTGTATTTTGTGCCTTTGATTCATAACTGCAGACTGCGTATTGAATAAATGATCCTTCTGATCCTTCATTACTTGTAGAGGAACATTTAAAAAAAAAGAAGAAATTGAAACGCAGACTTTTGTATCATCATCGATGGTGAATTGAAAAAATCCGAACAACACACTTCTGGACTAAAATCTTTGAAAAGAACTTAATCAACATAGACTTGTTTGTTTTCAGTGATTTTTCGACTTGTATTAACAAATTTTTCATAAGTTGCCATATCATGAAGGTCCCGAGAAATGAAAACATATATCTCTTCTTCTATTCCTTTGATTTTCCTTTTCTTTTTCTTCTTCAAACCAACATGTTTTTAAATGATGTACAGAAAACGATTGCTAACTTTTCTTGCCAGTTGTATTGCTTTCTACAAGAATAATATAAAATTAGAACAGTTGTATCTCCATTATCTTTTGATAACCTGTAAGAACTTATGTGTTTACACGGGAAAATATAAAAATAAGTTTGATTGAAGAAAAGGGTAACTTATTATTTAGGTTGGAAAATAAATGATTTTGAAGAAAAAATTTTATTTCAATTTTAAAAAATGTATAGCAGAAATCATCATTTTTAACACAATGATTTACTTATTAAACATAAATTCTAAACAAAACATATAAAAAGATAAAATTAGTTTTTTTCATCATCTGAATAAGCATAAGTATTTGGAAACATGTTTTAAAAAGTGGAGTGATGTAACCATTCAATGCTACATAGAAAACAATTGATTATCAAAAAAAATTATTAATTTTCTATAAAATAATCATTTGTAATTAAGATTAATAACTAAAACGGAAACATTATCGAGTGTGCTGCGACTGACTGCTGTATCTTTTATCTTTCTCGCTGATTCTGCTGTATTATTTGAAGTTTTGACGATTCTTGCTGCTTCTTCATCTGTCATTACATCCCAAACACCATCACAAGCAATGATAAGCTGCATACCGTCTTTTCTCTTTAAACGATTCATTGTAGGTTCGCGAATAAGATAACCGTTCAATTCACCATCACCGATAGCTCTAGTAATAGCTAATACACCTAACACACGACCACCAAATACAGCACCGCCGATCTTTGCAATTTTATCAGCTTCTTCTTGATCTGTAGCTTTATGATCGTATGATAATCGTGTAGTTTGTTCTCCATTTACTAATATGATGCGAGTATCTCCGAGATTTGCTGTGTAAATTATGTCTTTTATGATTAAAACAACAGCGAGTGTGCATCCTTGCGAAGGCCATCTCTTGACAGCGACATTGTTAAGTTCGAGAATCGTTTCTTTGATGACTGTTTCAACATTTGCTGTAATGTGAAATTTTGATGCAAAAATTCGATGAAAATTATTTGCACAATAAAGAGCACAGTCAACACCACCATGCCCATCAAAGAGGCCGTAGTATGATGTATTTGGACCTGCAAAGTCACCAACAACAACAGCAGTATCTTCCATTGTTGGACGAACACCTACTGTATTAGAATGACCGCATGAAAATGCTTGCCTTCCGAGTACAATGAAATTTGGATCTTTCAAAGGAGCACCAAGGGTTTTCGAAAACATTTTTTTTATTTTTTTACACGAAAAACCGGCGGTTTTTTCCTCCTTTATTGTTTGAATCCGAACAAGATTGCTAGTGAATATGAGATCATTACTTCTTATTAAATCTTACTTCTTAACGAAAACCTTATATTTTTTGGTATTTTTTACTTGATGATCAAATGGATTTAAATGTGCTACATTTCTATCTTACATTGAAACACCATGCATAGTGAGTTTTATCTTTTCGTACATGGTCTTTTATTTTTAACTTTTGATATGAATTTTCTCAATCATTTCATTATTAATGAATTTCTGTGAAAAAATTTACAGATTCTACATTGTATTCTTGCTGTGAATGTGTTTGATCATAATATCTATAATGAAGTAGATTTTTTTGAAGAAATTTCAAATTCTTGCAATGTAAACTGCATTAAGCGTGAAAGATAACAAAACAGGATATGTAGATCTTTATCAGAGTTATTCTTCTTAGAATCAAGTGATTGAGAGTGATTTGCGAAAAGAAATTTTGTTGTATTCGAATTTTTAATGAAAGTATCACAGATTTATCGAATGGAGAAATTTGGTGCAATAAAGAAACTAAGAATCAATATGGATATATCCATATTCATCAAGCAAAGGTCATCTTGAAGTTGTTTAACATCTTATATATAAATTAGATGTTTGTTAGTTTGATTTGCTATCAAAAACTTCTATAAAAAAACATGATTTAAAATTTTTATACAAAATCAAATAAAATCCATTTATAACTTTACAATATTCTTTGCGTCCATTGAAAGTAGCATAGCGTCGTTCTCATTAGAGTTGTCTTTCTGCTCAGTAACTTTCAATACGACCAACAAAGTGGCGTAAAAGGCGACAAGACCAATTGCCACAATAACAAATAGAACCCAGACTCCTAAGACGGCCTCTTCAAGGGCGTGGTCGACAGGAACAAGAGATTGGGATGGAGAAGGAGATGGAGCGCCCAAAGCCCAGCATTCCCAAGTAATATATGATGAAAGAGGTAGCTGCTTAAGACTCTTGATTCCCCAGACCGTTTCTACGATCTGAAGCTGACATCCTTTTAATAATTTGGCAGATTTCTTTACATCGAGGGCGCATTTGGACAGTGTTGCAAAGCCAGACACAAAATAGGTCGGCGCAACGTTTTCTATGAAATAAAAAGCTGAGAAAATGGCCGATGAATTTTCTAGCGTAAAAATGCCAAGATTAGCACCTGCTGTATTCTTTACGATATTACATGTATAAAGCTCATCACTATCTCGCAAATGGTGAAGCCAAAAACAATTTGCGCCTTGATTTCCGATAAAAGATGAGAAATGAAGCTTTAAACCGTTCGTATATGCTATACAAAGTGATGCACCTGTATCTTTGATGAAATTTGATGATGAATTCATTCCGATAATTACATGAGTTCCATGTCTCAGAAAAAACGACTGAGAAAGGCCAGGAGACCTAGCAGGTGCACATTGCTGTACGGAAATATATGAAATTTGGCCTTTGAAATCATCAAAACCTTGTAAATCTACTGCTTGGCCCATTTGTGCAGCCAAACAACCGAGATAGCATGATTTTTCAATTGAAAACTCACTGCCTTGGAACTCTACAGCACCACCATTCATAGTGGCTCCGCAAATTGTAAAACCACAGTAGATAATATTTAATTTAGCGGTTTGTGAGAAGATAGATATGGCTCCTCCACTCGTATTCGTTCTAGTTCTTTCGAAAACACACTGACTAAAGTAAAACTCTTCATTTTTATCTGAAACTTCGAAATTTGAACGATAATGTTTTCGATTTATGTTTTGGCTTTGAACTTTGATGACAGAATCTGTAAATTTACGGAATGTTGATTTCGAAATCGAAGTTAGAATTTTACTGTTCGTTGAATAAAAGAAATTTGAAAAAATATTCTGGAAATTTAAGTGTGTTCCGGTCAAGTGTATTTGATTTGACTGTGGCGCTACTGAAAGTACCGGGCTATTATATATATGAGATAAAGCTAGATACTTAAACGTTAAATTTCCTTTAATCAACATTTTTGAAGACCGAAACCTGACACTTTTTTTGAAATCGCATTTCTGATGCGACGGATAAAAAGTTATAAATTTAGCATATTTTTAATTATCTCTTACTAAAACAGTCATTAACATCAAAAACATGAAAAATGACGAGTAAATGGCAAATTGTCAAAATTGCCGAGAAAAAAAAATCAAGGATTTTGAAAAGCAACATACCTTGAGAGGATTAGAGCAAATAATATAGTTATCCTAGTCTTGTACAGTATACCTAATTGCCCATTCGGCTTGCTAGTTGTTGTTATTAGTTCAATGATTTTACAACATGTTTTTTTGACAAAAATATGAAGAAGATTGCTTGATTCATGAAAACACTCTACAATATCATTAATAAAGCCCATACTTATACACTAGACTACATTACAATTACTCTACCATATGGTTATACTCAAATGAGTTGCGGTTAAAGAACGAGTATTTTTTGTACTGAAATTTTCAATCAAGAAAAAATTATCTCACAAAAATTTTGATGGCAATTTTTCACTTTCGAATCTTTCTTTTCCTATTGCTACATCATCTTGGGATATTGCACAGCAAATTTTAGTAATTGTTTTCTGAAGGAATTTGAGATTTGAAAATTTTGACGAAAAAAAAATGATCAAAACGTCAATAAGATCATTAATAAATCATCAGTCATATATACATATTTTTTATGACAAAGACAGAATTATAATTTTTTTTTCTCCGTCAAGTGAGTTAAAAATTTGACATTACGACGATAAAAAAAATATTTTTCTTTTTCGAGGATGGAAATCAAAATTCCTCCAGGAATTCCAAGTCTCCTCCTGAACTTTACCGAGACTGTAGGTGCTGATGAACAACGTCGACTTGTTATGAAAGTTGTAAAGCCCGCAGTTATTGAGGAACCAATTTATATCCGTCAACGCCTCAAATTGACATGTGATAACAAAAAAGACAATCATTTAGAGATAAAATGGGTAACAATAAGCCAAGCGGAAGCCGAATTCGAAAATCTTGAAATTCAAGGATTAGTTCATTGTACAGGAGAAGGAACACTGATAGCAAGAAATTGCACGTTCACTCCTTCCGATCAGCAGCCAAATACTGCCGTTGAAGTTTTCGCTCAATCCAAATGTATATTCGAGAATTGCGTTTTTTCAAATGCAATTGTTTGCCCATTAACTATTCGAGATCGAGCCAGTTTTGAAATCATCAATTGCACATTCCATTTAAATACACAAACATCGCTCTTAATATTAGAATCGGCCAAAGGATTTGTTAATAAATCAACTTTCCTCGGTACAGACAAATTTTCAGTATACGTATTCAGTAATTCGCAGTGCGAATTTAATGAATGCAAATTCTCCGAAATTGCAGGTAAAGGAGCTTACGTTTTTAAGAATTCTGAAGCAACATTTAACAAATGTAGGTTTGAAAAGATCAAAGGAGGCGCAATCAACTGCTCAACGGATGGAACAACAATAGTAGATAATTGTACATTCAGCGGTAACGGACATAGCGGTGTTCATGCGCAATTTAACTGTAAAACTCAAATTAAGAATTCAACTTTCACTTCTTCTGGAATTATTTACGAGTATTGCGGTGGATTAATTGATTCCTGCACATTTACCAATATGAATTCCCCTGGAGTTTGTTGTTTAGGATATAAATCGAATCCAGCGGTAAAGAATTGCAAAATCAAGACATACAATAACTTCGGAATCGTAATAAGAGATGCTGCAAACCCTTCGCTATACAATATCTCTCTAGAATCAGGAAAAACTCACGCAATCATGATTTCCGACTTTTCAAGCCCAAGAATCGCTAAAACTACAATAAACAATTGCTTAAATACGGGAATTTGCATAGTAAACGGTGCAAATCCTGAAATTAATAACTGTATTATTAATTCTTGTAAAAAAGCCATCGAAATCATGACTACATCGAGCCCATTGATACAGAATTGCATAATAAATGGAGATATACTTATCCACCATCGCGGAGAGCTTTTGCCAACCAAATTTATAGGAAATGTCAAAAATTCAGAAAATTCCAGCTTCAAATCGCTTATTTATCAAGATGGAATGTTTTCCATTGGCGAAGAAGCGAAGATGCCGCAAGAAGAACCCGATTTTGTTGAAATTCCTGAGATGGATATTGGAAATCTCGATTTATCATGCGAATCAAAGAGCGAGCACAAGCAGATGTGCATGATATGCCACAAGGAAGAGGCAGAACTTGCTTGTGTCCCTTGCGGACATATATTAATTTGTCATAATTGCAAAGATTCGTTTGAGAAGTCCGAACGCGAGAAGAAAGTCTGTCCGATATGTTCTACACCTGTTCTGAAGCTCGTCAACGTATTCCAAGAGCAAGAATGCCAAATTTGCTGCGATTCTAAAGCAGATACGATGATTTTGCCATGCGGACACTTCGAATACTGCTACAAATGTGCTGTAAGGGCTTGCGAAGTGTCTAAAATATGTCCTACATGCCGCGGAAGGGTAATTTCTATCAGACATATGTTCCCGACCGTCTGACGTTTGTTTATAATATTAGATTATGTATTCTACAAAATTTGCTGTTTTGTTAATCCTAAAAAAGTTTTGTTTCATTTTATAATTTTTTTATCTAAAATATTTCAACAAAATTCCTTTAAAACTCATAATAAATTATATTTTCATTGACAGACAATTCATACATTTATGGGAATGCTTAGTTTTTCATTAATTTTAAATTTTATATTTCTCATTTTTCTTGATTTTCATATGATATTATCAGCAAATTTATTCTATTTCATAGATTTAATGATGGTTATCTCCTACTGTTGAATGAATTCCTAATAACAGATGGTCTTCCATTATGAGGAATATCCCAAATGGCTATTTCAATCGGGTTAAAGCTTGTTATGACCAGTATAATTATTTGGTATTACTAACATGCCAGAATAAAATAGTCTGTCGTTTTATAATTCTGACAAATCAAGAATAAAACTTACATTCATTGCTGACATATCAATATTTTTCGATTTATTATTCATTTCTGCATCACTTGCACTATGCGGCCAAGTGAAGTGTTGCCGAACGATAAAAAAGTGCGGTCGGCCAATATAAACTTTGCGATGTCTTCCTTTGAACAAATTGCAAACGACTTCGTATACCTTTACTACCGTAAGTTTGTTTACGGTGACGAGGATATTGTTAAATTCTATGTCCAGAACGCTTTAATGACACGCCCAGAATACGATGTTAATGAGCCAAAGACCCTTACTGATCTCCGCCCAGATATGATCAGAACAGACATCCCAACAGGCACACAGTTCGTTGTTACAGATTATAAGACCAAAGAAATCGAAAATGGCTTCGAATTAGTTGTTAATGCTGTCATTGACAATGGCTCACCAAAGTCATTCACACAGACATTCACAATACAGAAGATCAACGAAAACTACTTTATTACAAAGGATATTTATGAAATTAAAGAAACTAAGACATTCCCCGATGTTAAGACTGGTTACATAGAAGTTCACCAGCGTAGTGAGTCAAGAAGAAGCCAGAGCCCACGCAACAATAGAGGAAAGGTTAACGAACAAAGAATTAAGAAGAACGATAAGGCAATGAACGAAATCAAGCAGAAGAATAAATTCAGCGATTGGACACCAAATAGCAAGTAAAGATAAATGTCCCTTGAATTTTAAATCTTACCAAATAAGTTTTTTAAAACGAATATATTATTTTTTTTAATTTTATCTAAGTTTTTTTGTTCTCCAATATCTTATAATCAATTTTGCTTTATTTTTATTATAATAATGTTTCTAAGAGGTGCAATTTAATTACGATTGTATAAGACGAGACTTTTCTTTAATTTTGAATTAAATTCAGATGAGCACAAGTGCACCTTTAAGATTTTCGAATTATTATTCATAACAAACTCAAAAATTTGAACATTGACAATTTGTAAACTATTGAAAATTATATTTGTATGAAGAAGAAAAAGAAGAAAATCTCGGGAAAAGAAGAAGAGATGCTTGTTTTCATTTCTCAGGACCTTCAATCGATACATGGAATAGATTCTATGGTCCTGCAACTTATGCTAAATTTGTTAGTACAAGTCAAACAGTCACAGAAAGCAGCAGTGTCTTTGTTGATTACGTTCTTTTCGAAAATTTTAGTCCAGATGGTGTTATTCGAATCACTACTACAGCTGAAGATACAAAAGTTCTTGTTTCAACTTCTTCTTTTTTAACTGTTCCTCTACAGAACAAGGAGGATCCATATATCTTTCATCATCAGGATCATTTGTTCAATACAAAATCTGTAATTATGAATCTAAATCAGATGTACAAGGATCTCATTCATGTATTCAAGTGACAAATAATGATAACCACAAGAATTTTGTTATTCAATCATCATTTACTCAAAGTACAGGAAATTATTCTGTTTTAGATCATTTTTATGGATCTATTCTATTTTCATCATTAAATATCTCTGATTCAAAACTAGATGCAAATGCAGCATTTACTAGTTTGCAACCATTTAATCTTTCAACAACAAATTATAGTCATTTCTATAATATTTCAACAAATACACAATGTTGTTTTTATCATTTTTCTAATTATCAAAATATCTTTTCTTGTAATTTTATTAATAACAATGTTTTACGCCTAATTTTTGACGACAATTAGCAAAAAATGTTTACTAATAGATGAATAGTATATAAATTCTATTAAAATGGATTTGATCCAAAAAAATATATAAAATTTGATCATAAATAAAATCGTTTTAAATTACTTCTTCATTTAAATATAACAATTATTTTTGGTTTTATATTTTTTTGGATCAAATCCATTTTAATAGAATTTATATACTATTCATCTATTAGTAAACACTACCGTATATTATTTTTAAGCTATCTTATTTTTTGAACTTTTATTCAAATCTTTGGTCACAAGAAGAATTGCATGATAAATAAAAACATTTAATCAAAATCAATTTTATTTTTCATATTCAAATGGACTGAGTGTTAACATTTAACATTTTTTGCTAATTGTCGTCAAAAATTAGGCGTAAAGCAAAAATTGATATTTCATATGGTTTTATGATAGATAAGCATTATATTCCCACTCATTATATTCGTAAATTTTGAGGTTTATCCTTCGCTTTTAAGATCATTGAATTTGATTTTTATATAAAATAGTTATATATTAGAAAATAATATGAGTTTATGTGATATTATTTTTCAGAAGATTTTGTGTTCTTCTTCAAAATTTTATTTTTTTATTAAAAAGAATCTTTACAAAATATACATTTACTTTAATTAATATTTAAAAACGTGCTCTATCAAAAGTTCCAAAAATTCAATATTTTAGCTTTTCTGAGGTGTCACTTTTGATGAATTTCTGTTTACAACAGGATCGAGAATTAGACTCACAAGAGATTATCCTCATGAATTTTAGGAGCTTATAATTCCCGACAAACATTTTCTGAGAAACGTTAGACGTAAAAATAAAAAAAGTGAATTTCTGATTTCCTAATGTTGTGTAGAATATTTCATTCCGAACATGATTTTGACGATTACTTTTGACATTTTACAAAAATTTTAATTACCGATTGAGTTTTTGATTACGTGTCAGAAATCGACAATTTTCTTTTGAAAAACAAAAAAACAAAAAAATGTCTGAAGATAGCGAGAAAGAAGGGCAACCAGAAATATTTGCCAACGGACTCGTCATCAATAACTACAGAATAGATAAACACATCGGACATGGCGGATATGGCGAAATTTACGCCGTAACCGATATTTCAACAAATAAACATTACGCAATGAAGTATGAAACGAAATCTGGAGAAAACAAAGGACTTGTCATGGAAAAGGAGATCTCAAAACAGCTTTCTGGATCAAAAAACTTTGCGATTCAGTACGGTGAAGGAACTTATAAAGGAAATAAATATATGGTTATGGAACTTTTAGGAACCTCTCTGTCAAACACTCGAAGACAATTAGAAGGTAGACACTATTCTCCATATTCTGCTTTGTATTTGTCTTATTATACAATTTGTTGTATCGAAGACTTTCACAGTAGAGGTTATATTCATCGAGACATCAAGCCTGGCAACTTCTTGTTAAGGCCTGATTGGGATTTTCCTGTTTGCTTGGTTGATTTTGGACTTGCAATATCTTACATTGACAGGCAAACAAAGGAGCATATCCCAAACAGAAACTCAGTAGGCTTTACAGGCACTTGCAAATACGCATCGATGAACGCTCATGAAGGTCATGAACTTTCTCGACGAGATGACTTAATTTCATGGTTTTATTCAGTTGTTGAGTTTTATGCTGGCCGTCTCCCATGGCCGGCGTCAAGAGATAAAGACGCTACATACGATAAAAAGCAAAGAACTCCACCAGAAACTTTACTCAGAAAATTACCTTCGTTTTTCGGCGAAATATACCAACATATATTTAGCTTAGACTTCTTTGCTAAACCGGATTACCAAAGAATCAAAGAATTGATGCTTTCCGAACTTAATTCTCAAAAAGGAACTCTCGACTGGGAATTGATAGATCCCGAAATACAAGTCAAGATTTCAGAGGTGCCTCTCGTATCGAGAGCACCAAGACCTTACAAAATTCAAATGTTTTGTAATTCCCCCATGCCAGACGCAGATAATGAAGACCCAATGTACTCGCCGCCCGGTGAGCCGACCTGTTGTGTTATTGCTTAGCTTATTTTTATTGTTTTTGTTATCTCAATTTTTTATTGAATAAATGTTTATATCATGTTTGAATAATTAGTAAATACACGTTGCTATATCGATAATTTACTTTGTTTATACTAAAAAAAGAATAAATTTGAATTTTGAATTTTTACATAAAGGAAGGACTCTGAATCTATGCACTCTCAGTTTAACTAAGGATAGTATAGTATATTTGTAAGTGTATAACTCGAAAAATTCATTATTTTTTGAATTTTCAAATTGCAATTGATTGATAGTGTCTCAAATATCATCGGCAATTTGGATAACGCAACAATGCAAGCAAACTGAAACAATAATCTAGTTTCAACTTTGAATATTGCAGTATTTTATTTTTTAATTTCAGTCTTTTCCATAGTAAATGAAAAGAGAAATTTAATAAATTATGCACATTCAATATGTCTTTCAACAAAACAATGCTGAAATAAAAAAATAAAGATAAATTATTGGATTAAAATGTATTTTTAATAATACAGGAGTGTGTAAACAATATAAGGTGATTATGAGCATGCAGAAATCTCTGGGAAGCAAAGATCTGTTGAATTTCCAATAGTTGATAAAACATTAACGACTAAGCGATCAAAATTAATTGGCTTCCCAATAGAATACGAATAGATGTGATTTGGACGATCATTCTTGAGTTGATTCTCATGAACTTGCTTATTTCCTTCATAAAAAGTTAATTTATATGAGTTTGCCGTACAATTTGAGTAAGGTATTGAATTGAATGAAATTTGCTTAGCATTGGCTTTTTTAGGTGGAGCAAATGTTAATGTAGCAGTTGAATCGGGAATGTATATACCATTATAAGCAGGAACGTTTGGCATATCAGTAATATTAATTCTTCCGAAAATAACTTTGATTTTGTCAGAGGTAGAAATGGAATTTCGCTTATAATCAGCATTTTCGAGTTTTAATCTGATTATCGATGATTTACCACACAAGCTTCTAGTTTGTTCATTGCTATTAATAGAGTTATTGCGTTTTATCATTTCTGATTTTTTAGTATTTAATTCTTCGACTTTTTTCGCTAAATCTGTGATATTTTTGGGCAAATTCTTTATGTCCTTAGTGAACTTTGTTATTAAGGCCTCTCTTTTATCGTTATTATACGTATCTATAGCAAGAAAGAGAGTAAATAAAATCATTCTTTTTGACACTTTTCGCCGCCATTTTTTAATGAATTGTAAACACTATGGGGATTTTATTTTGGATTCGAATTTGTTAAATAACATTAAATGTCTTAGGAGTTGATAGTTATCGATGTTTTGGAGCACATTTATGAATTATTTTCCTGATTTTTCAATTTCAATTTCTATTTTTTGATTTCATTAATCGTACATAAGTCCATTGATACATAAAATGTATTGTTATAACATTTATACCTAAATATTGCAATTATATGAAGATATGCTGAATATCATATATCTGTTAAGTTTCTATCAGCCAAATACCACTTTCATGAGTCATAAAACAGAAGTCAAGACACCGTGAACAAGTCTCATTAGATAATATGCATTTTCTCATAATTCCTAGAATTTTTGTTGCCATAATGCTAGCGTTTTAAATAAATTTTTTAAATGATGGATTGGAAGAAACCTAGATTAGAGGAAATGGAGAAAACACTGTACGTTAATTTTTTTAATTGATGTCTGAATTCACAAACTATGATCCTATGCAAGGAATCAACCAGTTTCAGAAGGAAAATCCGATGAATGCTGGTTCTCCATATCCTGGTAATTATCAAAATCAAAGCTTTCAGCAATATCCAGGTTATCCTCAACAGCCAAATCAACAATATCCTCAACAAAGGGGTGATCCCATGATGGGAATGAATCCCCAAGGTAATTATGGTATGCCATTCGAATTTACTCGAAGAATAAATAAAATGAATTGGGAGATGATCGGAAATGTTGACGTTTTAACAATTGCTCGTACAAATGACATTCAGTCGATTGAATTTCTAATGGGTCCAGTAGCTTTTGCCAACATCGGTCAAGATGATGGTGAAAATTTTGGAAGTCGAGCAGGATTACATGCATTTTTAATACTTCAACTGGCAGTTGAATACTTACTCTTCAAAATTAGAACAATGCCGCCACCACAACCAATGATGCCACCTCCTCAACAACAGCCTCAAATTTCTCCTCAATCACAAGTTACATATGAAGCACGAATTGATATTTTGACGAAAGATATAAAATCGAGAGATTTAATTATTAATTCACTATCAGATAAATTACGAGAAGCAGAAAAAACAATAAATTCTCTTAAAGCAAAACTATCATCTGCTAAAGAGTCACAAAAATCGCAAAAAAAGCAAGATCCATCATTATCTCAAATATCTATCAAATCAATTGACTTCCCAGAGGCATCATCCGTTAGCAATAAAAAATCTAAGCGAAATCTTACTAAAGAAATATCTGCAATAGATCCAGACGAGTCAGGTTTGGTTCATCCTGATACTGAATATGTAGATTATAATCAGAATAAGATGAAAATCAAATCAAAACCAGAATCTAAAAGGAAAGGATCAAGTAAATCTAGAAAGAAGCATGATATTGATTATGATTATTCAGAATCAGAAATTATCGCTCCTACCAAACCTAAAAAGAAGAAAGAGAAGAAACCTGCTAAAAATGGAATGTTTGATGCTGAGTGGGGTGACTCTTCAGGCTGGAATTAAATTTTATATTATTATTTTGTTTGTTTTAGTTATTATAAACAATAATGTCTATGTTACTTTCTCTATACAAATATAGACCAAACATATTGCAAAAAGAAAAACGATAAAAAATGAAATGAACTTTCTATATGATGAAGATATATATGATAAGAGATCATGACATATGTAAAAATGATTTAAAAATGGAAAAGCTTCTAATGATTAGTTAAATATAGCTTGCAATCAAAAAATTTTATCAATTATTTCTAAATTTAATGATTTTAAAGATGGTGTTGTAAGGAGATAGATGGCAAAAAGAGAGAATTACGAGATATCTATATATTTTTTTATAAATTATTTGAAAACAAATTAAAATTAATTAATATCATAGCATCCAGGACAGCTCTGAAGCACTTCATGGATAAATGGATCGCATTTCTTGCAAAAACACTTATTACATTTCGGACATCTGCATGGAATTTCTTCGAAAGGCATATTACAGCCAAAACAATGGTCAGTGTCAGGACTTTCCTCGGACACAAAAAGAGGAACAGGTGTAAGGTGGCAAACAGTGCGTTTAAGGTATGCAGGTGAAATTAAGAAGTCTCTGCAAACAGGACAGAAGCAAGGGATACTGAAAACACGTGTTCCGCATCGAGGACATTGGTATCCACCGTACTGCGGAGTCTCTGGTTTATTTGTTTTTGATGGAGGATTTGACATCAGCTTGAAAACGTCGAAAGAAGGAACTGTTGGACTTGCAAGAGATGCAAAGCCAAATGGTATGAAGTAACGACGCTGGTTTAACATAAATTCGGGTGGAATAACAAATGAATGGAAAATATCATGTAAATGCTCAATAGATACTGGAACAAAGTATTCACCTTTGGTTTCTGCTGCAATCTTTTCAAGAACAAAGACTTTTGCGCCAAGACCGATGATTGAAACTTTAATTTTAGAATCTCTGACTAAATTGAGAGTTTTGTAGATCGGAGAGTTATCACATGTAGTTAGTGAGCCGTAAACAATTAGAACTTCTTTGGTTGTTGAGATTTGCGCAAGACCAGGGTTCTTTTCGCCATTTCCGAGAATTGCTGTAGCAATAGAGAGTGAGCTTTCAAGAGATGGTTCACCGCCATGGTCTTCTAATGATAAACTTTTGATTTTTTTGACATGATCTTGAACATTGCAGGAAAGAGGTGTTAAAATGCGGCATGTAGATTCGTATGTTGCTAGAATGGAAAGTTGTGATAATGGATTTTGCACAAAAAAGTCATTAATGAAGTCAATTGTTTGATCTTGAATTAACTTCATTCGGTTTTGATTAAATAGACGCATTTCTAATCCATTTGTTGATAAATCTAAAATTAAAACTAATGATCGAATTAAACCTCGTGATGCGTTTAATAATGCTTTCTTCTTTTTTTCAACTTCACTATCCCACTGTTCTGTCTCTTGAACAAGGCGTAAATCGTTGTTTTCACCAACACCAAGATTGTCCCAAATATTGTCGCGTCGCCCCCACCGCTTAACAAGGTTTGATTTTCCTTCTTCAAGCATTTCTAAAAAAGTGACTTATTTTTGAGAACGAATTTCTAATATATGATATTAACTTGTGTAAACATATATATTCGATAACGAAATATTTTTGTAAACTATTTATATTTGCTTGAAGAAGAAAAAGAAGAAAATCTCGGGAAAAGAAGGAGAAGAGATGTATGCTTTCATTTCTCAGGACCTTCAAATGATATCTGGGAAAGATTCTATGATAATGCAGTTATTCACACATTTGTTAATACAAGTCGAACAGTCGCTGAATACAACAACGTCCTTGTTGATTTTGTTATTTTCAAAGATTTTACTGAAGAAGGTGTTATTCAAATCACTAATGCAACTGCAGATACAAAAGTTCTTTGCTCCACTTCTTCTTTTTTTAATTGTTCCTCTGCAAGTTATGGGGGATCCATATATATGGCAACAAATGGATCATTTATTCAATACAAAGTCTGTAGTTATAAGTCTAAATCAGATGATTCAGGATCTCATTCATATATTAAAGTGACAAATGATGATAACTACAAGAATTTTGTTATTGAATCATCATTCACTCAAAATACAGGATATGAATCAGTTTTGTATCATTCTTATGGATCTCTTCTATTTTCATCAATAAATATCTCTGATTCAAAACTAGAATGGAATGCAGCATTTGCTAGTTCTGAACCATTTTCTCTTTCAACAACAAATTTTAGTAATTTCGATAATATTTCATCAGATTATCAAAGTTGTTTTTATCATAGTTCTAAAAAACAAAATTTCTATTTTTGTAATTTCATTGATAACATTGTTTCACAAAATAGATATGGAATTTTCTATGTATTCTTAGCAAAACTTTCAATAAATCGATGTTTCTTCAAAGGAAATAAAGCTTCTAAATTATTTTTTATTAATTTAGGATCAGCTACTGCAAATGAATGCCATTTTGAATCAGATAATACATTCAAAAAAAAAAAAAAAAAAAAAGGTAGTGGGGCTTCCAGGCACTTCGTGCCTTCTAGCCCTGAAGAAATTTTACCCAAGAGGAGGACCGAACCCCAGCCGACCAGCCGTTGACTTTTTTGTCATGATTTCATCGTAAATGTTTTGTCAAGACTTCTTCGTAATGAGCGTAAATGACCCAAAAATAATGTTTATGTTAGAATGTTAGATCTAACACCTTTTCTAACATGTTTTCTAACATCGTAGAAAACTCATGATTTCTTCGTAAATGTTTTGTCGAAACTTCTTCTTCGTAAATGTTTTGTCGAAACTTCTTCGTAAATGTTTTGTCATGATTTCATCGTAAATGTTTTGTCATGATTTCATCGTAAATGTTTTGTCAAACTTCTTCGTAATGAGCGTAAATGACCAAAAATAATGTTTATGTTAGCATGTTAGATCTAACACGTTTTCTAACATGTTTTCTAACATCGTAGAAAACTCATGATTTCATCGTAAATGTTTTGTCAAGACTTTCTTGTCTATGTTTTGTCAAGACTTTCTTGTCTAATTTCTCATGAACTTTCATCGTAAATGTTTTGTCGAAACTTCTTCATCGTCAATGTTTTGTCAAAACTTTCTTGTCTATGTTTTGTCAAGACTTTCTTGTCTATGTTTTGTCAAGACTTTCTTGTCTAATTTCTCATGAACTTTCTTGTCTATGTTTTGTCAAAACTTTCTTGTCTATGTTTTGTCAAAACTTTATTGTCTATGTTTTGTCGAAACATTTACGATGAAATCATGAAAATTCATGAAAATTCAAGAGTTTTAGACCATGTTAGAAAACATGTTAGAAAACATGTTAGATCTAACATTCTAACATAAATTATATTTTTGGGTCCTTTACGCTCATTACGAAGAAGTTTGACAAAACATTTACGAAGAAGTCTTGACAAAACATTTACGATGAAATCATGACAAGATAGAATATGAGAGAGGTCCTATAAACCGGAGAAAGTGTCATACAAACATCTGTCAAAAACCGTTTTTTACTTCACTTAAAATGCCACGTAAGCTACGTAAGAATATACGTAAGAGGAAGAGAGCATTGAAACATCCAATAGTAAAACTGACACCACAACAACAGTTGCAACAACAAATGCTGAATGACCCCACTATGTTGCAACAAATGTCAAGCAATCCTATGCTTTTAAACCGAGTTCTTGGTGCACAGAGTGGAGGTTTAAGAGCGGCACTTTTAGCGAAAATGGCAGGCTATGGTGGAGCTGCAGACGGAACAGCTTATAACCCTCAAAGTCAAATGAATTTGAGTTCACTCAAAAATCAAATAACAGATGTCAAAAAGTCAAACATAGACATACAGAAACAAATAAGTGAAAACGAAAAGAAACTAGAATATGACAGACACACAAAGAAACTCAATGAGTTAAACGTAGAGAAAAAGAAGAAAGAAGAACAACTGAAAGAACTAAGTACAGAGGAATATGCGAAAAAAGTGTCAGAAAAAGCAGCAGAAGTAGCAAAAATGGAACAAGATGTCATAAATTTGAAAAACCATACTACTCAATATAAAATACTGAAAGATGAAGAGATAAAACAAAAAGCCCTGAAGACATATATGGATAGCGATGAGTATAAAAAGAAGTTGAAGCAAATGTAAAGGCAGAAAAACTTTTACAGTTGCAAAACCAAACCGTACAGTATGAAAACTTAGCACAAGAAAGTAAAAATAACGACGCAGCCATGCAAAAGGCAATGAAAAGCGCAGAATATATAAAAGCTAACAATGACTGGTTAGATGCCCAAGCCAACGCTAAAGCAGCCCAGCTTATAGGGTCAATAAGGACAAAAATACAAGCGGATGAAGACAGTTCAAATGAAGCTTTAATGAATGCCGACTTTAAGAACGCCTTCGAAGCTCTTCATAGTAAGGTGAAACTAGTGAACGACTTCTCATCTGGAAAGAAACTGAAGTCTGAAGGTTTCGACAAAGAGTTAAAAGAAGTAGCACAAAATATGACGAAAATAACAGATGCAGCAACGAGACAGGCAGTTCAAAGTGCCTATGACGCCGTTAGAGCAACTGTTGTGAAAAGTCAAGAAAAAGAGTTACAACAGACCAAAACAGACCTAGTAAATGCTTTCTTAAGAACGAAAAGTCAGGTAGGACATTACGCTGCAGATGGAACATATGTGCCAGCTGGTGGAACTTATATACCACCAAACCCTCCAAGAGAAGCACCTGCACCAGGACTACCTAGAACATTTACATCGTCACATGGACACAGACACAGGCATGCACCAAAACCAACACAACAACCAACACAACAACCAACACAACAACCAGCACAACAACCAACACAACAACCAACACAACAACCAGCACAACAACCAGCACAACAACCAACACAACAACCAACAGTTCAAAACCCTGCACAGCAACAACCACAAACAGAGCAAGGACATAAAAGAAGTAGAGAACAAGGAAACCAAGAATTCTTAAAAATGCTAAAGGAAAAATATGGTTACCCAGATACTATTGACTTTAGTGACAGATATAAAGAAGCTATTAGAAAGTTCAAGGAAGAAAATACTGACCCGAACCTATTTAGCTTTATGGCTCAGCATAAAATCGGATATAATTTCAAACCTGGAAAATACAAGCTCGCTAAGGGATATGATTTAATAGCATATCGTCCAAATGACATGACTGAATTTACTCCGAGATATTTTATGTCAGAGATAAATGATGATTCAACTATCTTCATGAAACGCGTAAAAAATAGAGACGGAACGAAAGAAGAAAGGCTTATGAATGCAGATGACTTAAATAGGGAACTTGTTAAAAACGGTCTCGGAATATATGAAATGCCAGCAGATGAGGTACAAGAAACTCCACAGGAAGAAGTTCAGATACAACCAGACATGGAAGAAATAGTTCAGCAACAACAGCTAGAAGAGCCTGAAGGAAACGAACAAGTCCCTCCTTTGGAAACTAACCTCACAGAACTAGATGAAGATTTGGAACAGCCGAAAAATCTTGACCCTCAACAAGAGTATGCGGAGAATATGGAATATTTCCAAGAGTCTAAAAAAAATTCGGCTGACATAGTAGAAGAATATCGAAAAATGTTTGCCGACATACAAAAGACTCCAACACCAGATGAAAATATTCAGCATAGAATGGAAGTACTGAAAGAAAATGTACACAAATACAACAACCCTTTTTACTTACGAGCATTTAACGTTCAATCTTCGGATGAACTCGGTGAAAATAAAAGGTTAAATTTCAAGAAAACATATAGAAATGAAACATTGTTTAAAGTTCATTCAGAACCTAACCAAGATGGAAACAAACCTACTTTTGTTTCTGCAGACGATGGAACTACAATGAGATGGGGTCATAAAGCTAATCCGGATAGGTGGTTCATAAACTTACAACCACAATTCCAAGAAGTTGTAGACGCAATGGAAGTGAATGGTGAACCAGATATAGCTGGTATTTTCAGCGCGGCTTTAATGCCATTGAAAGATATGAAACATGCAGATATTTTGGACCAGTATGAAATGAACATGGCTGATGGAAATATAACACCTGACGTTCTAAAACATTTATCTCAAAGAACTACACAGAACCATAGAGATGGTATATTTGGTGAAGAGTTTAGAAAGAAAGTTAGGGAGGGAGAAGGAAGAGAACCTATTGTACATGACCTTGCAAACGAAAGTTTGCAAAATGTCATAAAAACTTACTTTGCAGACAATGAACCGAGAAGGGATGAATATTTAAGAAAACTCAAATGGACAGTACCAAATGAAATGTTAGTATTGAAAAACATGTTCCTTGACAAAATAAAACCAACTACAGAAATAAACGACGCAAGACTGAAAGATTGGGTAAAAGCTTTCCCATTCACAAAAGATATAGTTGGTAACATGGAAAGAAAACCAGAATGGCTACAAAAACATATATTTGGAAACGAGCATATTCCATATGGACAGGCACTGTTTGAAGAGCTTGAACCGGAAACTCAGGAAAGAGTCATGCAAACAATACGCGAAGACTCAAATACAGACTATGACAAACTCTTTCTAGGATATAGGTTACCTGAGATGGGCGACCAGAGCCAAAAGGCAAAAAGGACATGGGAAATTTGCAACATACTAGATGAACATAATGCAAAGATGCAAAAACTTCAAGCAGAGGGCAATGAAGGAAAAAGAAGAGTTAAAAACTCAGTCAGGAAGAAAGTAAAGCTTGGTCCACGTGGGTTCTATTATGACATATAAATCCAACTATTCTATATTTTTACTCATATGAAATGTACGCCGCTCAGAATATAACGCCAACAGTTTTGGATGCTATGAATGGAAATGTTTCCGAATGGTATAACGAATGCGACAATGCCATTAGAAGGTCAGAAATAGTTCCTGGAACTTACGAATATACAACTGCTGTTTCTTATGGAAACGTAGGTGAGTTTGGAGAAGGTTCTTCAACAACAGTAGATATTGCTTGCGACAGGTTTCATATAATTTCTATTGACAACTCTTTCTTATACGTGGAACAAGACATTGAAATAAAACCTTCTGCCAAGTTGTCTGACAAGAAAGGTTGCAATGGAATTTTCTATGTCGGATACCAATATGCTCCAGAAGTTTTCATGGGATATAAGATATATTCTAACTCTGACTTAGTTCAAACAGTAACATGGGCAAACTATGAATGGTTCGCTTTGAGAAACTCAGTACAACCACAAGCTAGAGAACAAACAGACCAGTATGCAACTATTGAGAAAATAAGAAGACTTGACCCTAACGTTCCAGGAGTTTATGTTGACCTTTCTGGACAAACTGCAGCAGCAGTAACCAAAGTAAAACTGAAACTTAGAGTTCCTTTGTCATCTTTCCTCATCTTCAGGTTTTTAAGATACTTGCCAAACTGGGCAGGAAAAATTTCTATCGAACTTACTCCAAGCAAAAATAACTTAGTCATTGCACCAACACAAGACCCATTCACTCTTACAGAAGTAGTGGGAACAAATAAAATGTCATTCGCCGACTTTTGCAAAAACAAAGTTGACTTAGACTTTGGTTTCTCAAACCTCAACACTGAAGTAAACTATTATTTCAATGCTGCTGGAGATGCTTGGGACCCAGTTAAGTTCACATGCGAAAAATTTGAATGCAAGAGAATAGAAAGCAGACTTGCAGTCTATATGTTGGACCCAGATATTTCAAATGCTTTAGCTGCCAAATATATTGCAGTTCCACTTATGTTCCCTATACACCAAATATCTGTCAAAGACTTTGCAGGTGAAGTTGGAAACCAAAGTGCTGACCCAGGTGCAAGAACAGATATTGCCTTAACAACTGCAATGAAACATGCAGATACTATGTTTGTACTGTTCAGACGAACTATAAATGACTATTCTTGCTTCTACACAACCCTGGTATTAAATACCATATAAACATAGATGGCAAATACTATCCAAGAGAAGAATATTCCACAGTTGAAGATATGAGGTCATACAACTTGACATTAGATGCTATGAACTTTAACAACAACTTCACAACAACCATTAACCCTGAAATGCAAAGTTCTATTATGCCATATGTGAAAGTATGGACCATACAGGAGGTCAAAAAACTCAATATACAAATGGAGACCGTTCAAACTTTTGGCTTGGCATTCCATTTGCTGACTCAGAAGACTTTATGGGTGGTATTTCAACTGTTGGTACAGTTCAAATACAATATACTGGTGACAGAGACGGTCCAGATGAATTGAGAGCAAAGAAGTTTACAAAACCAATAGCACTTTTCACGGAAGATGCTCTTTTGAAGATTCGTTCGATGAAACCTGCTGGGCTCCTCAGATTGGTATAACGACAGCTTCCATCGAGCAGATTTTGGCAGCAGGTCAGTAAGTTGTTCTTGAACTGACTTCTCTCCGTCAAATATTGACAGTACGCCAGTTTTGACATAAAATTGTATTATAAACTTTCCTTTAGAAATATCTGTAAGTTTTGTTGTTATATTTTTGTCTGCTTCAAGAACTTTCACCATCTCGGTTATACCAACTTTCTTTGCTTTATGAAAATATTTTGGTTCAGCAAAGACTGCTATTCTATAACATTTACCATTGTTTGTATAAAGAACTATTCTGTCAATGTATTTGTATTGTTTGTGTGTGTAAACTTTGTTTTGCTTCAATTCGAAGAGATACTCAAATACGTCCATCTTTTTATTTGTAGTAAAATGTCATTTCCGAAAAATAGAAGCGTAAGTGTTTCAAAAGGTTTAATGGCGGTGGCAGATGTGAAGTTAAATTCACCAACTCAAACAAACAGTCAAAGTGTTGTTGTCAATGTCAAAGAAAGAGATGTTGAAGTGGGGAAACCATACGAAGACGAAGATGGTATAACAATAGTTCCTGTAAAAGAACAACCAACATACCCTGAAGTTAGCAGAGACTTAAGTTCTGTTGCAGATATTCGAAACGACTACCAACAACTGAAAGACAAACTTCAAACTCAGGAGAAGATTTGTCAAGCTTTAAGTATAATGTTAAACTTGGTCGAACACAACCCTGTAAAAGTGAACTCATATGTCATTGCACCTCATGAAGTTTTGAAAGAACTATTGAAACTTTTGACAGAGGCAGACGATATAAACATCAAAGAAATAGAACCCGACGTTAGTTGCTGTGGTGTTTCATATAATGTCATTGACAAGATATACGTTATGAAAGGAGGTGAAACGTTGAACTTAAAATATAGTTTCCCAGACGTCATAAAAATATTTGACGACCACAACATTTCATTAAAATTTAGTTGCTAAGTAAATGGCAGAAGACATAGTGGTTTATACTATTACGACTAAAAACCCTGAGTCATATAATTCTATAACAACAAACTTACAAAGTCCTCAAGGACGATATTGTAAACTGACCTTAAACACGATGACGACTAAAGCCTGTTTTGCTCTTTTGACACCAGAAGATTTATTGTTGTGAATGGTAAAAAATACTCCTTTGAAGATACTTACTCAGATATACCACCAACAGGTTTTGTTGACTTATTTAATACTTTAAGGACGGATGTAACATGTGCTGCAACTAGAGCAGGTTTCATTATGTTTGGATGTCCGACTGAGTTTACTATAAACGATATGAGCTATAATACAAAACTTATATCTGGTTTTTACTACCAACAGTTTCCTATAACAGGAAAAGGTGTCATACAAGGAATGTCTATTCCATTGACTTTAAGCACACCTATTTTATATATTGTTTCAAACTTAGGTTCAAAGTGTTATTCGAATGTCGACAGAAACTACTATGACCAAAAGATACTTATGCGTATAAACAATACTTTCTCTGCTGGTTTGCCTATTGTTCATTCGAATGCAGAATTTTCAACCTTAGTGAACTCAAACACTTTAGCAAACATAAACTTAACCTTAGTTGACGCAAACTTTGTTCCTGTAAAACTTTTATGTCCTATGTATTTGTCAATGACGGCAGAAAGTTTCGAATTGGAAGATGCAACTGGTGAAAGTATTGTACTACAAGAACAACTTCAACAACAAATAGCTCAAGAACAACAAATGCAACAAATGCAACAACAAAGTCAAGAATAAAAAAAATATTTTTTTATTTTTATAAAAATGTACAGAATAGATGTTTCAGATTTTTATGACTTCCAAGCGTTCAGAAATATGTGTCCATTTCGAGACTATAACAAAGCAGTCGAGAATTTGAAACGTTTAGTCATTTATGTCGACTCTGCCCCAGAATGTTATGTCATGAAAGAATGGGATGTAGTCTTTAACAAACCTAAAGCGACAATAGTTTCAGAACAAGAATGTAAACAGAAACTTAAGAAAATAAAAGTCGTACAAGTTGGTATGAAGATGTTAGATGCTTGGGATATCTTATTGTCAAAGTTAGAAGATTTTTCAGTTCGAGGTATAAAGTTCTATACACCTTCTCCAAACTTCTATTCTATCTTCACTGGATATAAATATGAACAAGTAGAATGGAAAGAAAATATTATAGAAGCTTGGTTAGACCATGTCAAAGAAATTATATGCAATGGAAACGAAAAGGTTTATGAGTATATCTTATGTTGGTTTGCAAACATCTTACAACATCCAAGTGCTAAGAATGAAACTGCTCTCATTATAATTGGAAAACAAGGAACTGGTAAGAACACATTCTTTACAGATATCTTATGCAAACTATTAGAAGGTTATTCGAACCCTAATATGACAAACTTAGAAAACATCTGTGGCAAGTTTAACTCCTCAATAGAGAATATGAAACTTATAGTTTGCAATGAACTTCAAAGTATAGATACAACAAAAGTTTTGAACTCAGATGCTTTGAAGAGTCTTATAACAGACAAAGTTGGAGTTGTTGAAAGAAAGTATAAAGACCAAAGAGTTTGTGAAAATGTTGCAAACTTCATTATGGTTTCAAACAATACTGTTCCGATGAAGTTAGAAAGTTCTGACAGAAGATATGTAGTTGTCAGAACGTCAGATTCTCATATGCAAGATACAGAATATTTTGACGACTTAGCAGAAACTTTGACATCTGACTTTTACAACCACTTGTTCTCATATTTTATGACATTAGATATTTCTAAGTTCAATCCAAGACAAATTCCATATACCGAAGAGAGACAAACATTGTTAGAAGCAAACAAGAGTGTATATGAACTGTTTATAGATGAGACTAACTTTGAGTGTTTAGATGAAAGGTCATTGTACGATGAATATAAACAATATTGTCAAGAGTATGGTTATATGACAGCGTCTAAACGAACATTCTTGGCAAATGTCAAAAGTCTTTTAGATGTTCAGAACGGCGTATATACAAAGAAAAATTTTTCTGAGTAAATTTTAAAAAAAAATATTTTTTTTATCCGATAGAAAAGATGACAGAAAAATTAACTTTTTACATAGCGCCAGACCCTTCTTGCCCCTTCTTACATCTTTTAAGCCACAATATATAGACATAGAACTAAATAGAGAAAGCGAAATTCTACAAACAGAAGAAACATATAGAGACCTAGATAACGAAAATGGATATGCGCTATTCTGGTTAGGTTGTCCTTATGAAATGTATGAAAAAAAGGCTTTATATGAAGAATATAGAAAATATTGTCATGAAAACGATATAAGACCAAGCTCTAGAGAAAAATTCTATGCTGGTATAAAACATCTTTTCAAAGTTCGGAATGGTGTATATAGAAAGAAATAATTTTTCTGAGTAAATTTTAAAAAAAATATTTTTTTATCCGATAAAAAAGATGACGAAATTCATCTCAGTAAATAAGTACATGACAGAAGTCAAAGATAAGTTAGCTCCATTCGCATATTTGAATGTTTACTTCTACAATTTTGAAAAGTCTACATTTGACAAAATTTGGAACATTGCACCAGTTAAGTTTGCTGTTGTTAGAAAAAGTGGTGCAACTTTTGAAGACTTAGACATAGAAGGTTTGTTAACAGTCAAAGAAAATTTTGACAGAAAGTTCTCAAAACTCGAAGAAGGTAAAGCATACAAACTTGTTATACCTTATGAACCAAAGAAAGCAGACGACTATGAATATTATGAGTCTAAGATAGTTGAAGTTCAAGGTAAATTGGGTAAAAAGATTTTAGAGTCTAAGCCGGTGTTTGCTCCTAAAGAGGAAGAGAACATTGACATTGACCCAGAAATGTTCTAAAAATAAAATTTTATTTTTACATGTCAAATTTCTTTTTCTCTGGAACTGGTTCAGGTTCTTTCTTCTCTTCTTCTACTTTCTTTTCTTTCTTTCTCTCTTCTTCTTCTTCTCTGGTGGAGTTATGTCAAACTTCTCAGAACCATATTTTGTAAAAGTTCTTTGTCCTTTAATAGCTCATCTATTCTGTTTTCTATTTCATCTTCAAGAACAGCGCATGTGTCCTTCTTTGCATTCTAAGAACTTTTGTTGGACTTCATCTTTCCAAGAGGCGTCATCTCTGTCAACAAGTCTGTCATTGACAAACTTAAAGACTTCTCTGCCTAATGTTTTATGGTTCTTGTCATATTCCCAGAAACAGAACTTTAGAACAAATTCACCTTTCTTGTTTACACTATGTAAGATTTTATGGTCGACAGATGTTTTGCTGTCGAAAAGTTTGTCTCGAATATAGATAGCGAAATCGCTAGACATTTTCAAAAAGATAAAAATTTTAATTTTTCTAAAAATATGTTAGAAAAAAAGTTTGCTGACATTGACAAAAAATTTGAGAATGTTTTAAACAAGAACAAGAGGAAGTTTAGAAAATGCTCAGATAAAACCATACATGAAAAGTTCTTATTTGCTCAGAATGGTATAACAGGTCTAATCGCACCACCTGGGTCGGGTAAGACTTTCACTTATCTTAAAATGGCTGCACAACAACAAGAACTAGATGAGAAGAACCCATTCTATGAGTTAGTTGTTATTTGTAGTACTTCTGGTCAATTTGACCAAACCGTCAAATTCGTTCAAAGATATTATAAAGAAGTCTAAGTTAGTATGTATAAAGGATACTGAGTTGTTAGATTGGATAAAGAAGTACCAAAGAAGAGTTTTGAAGTATAATGCTATAAATGAGTATATAAATTCGAAGTTTAAAGACCCAAATGAGGAAATGCAGAGAATATTAGAGAAGAAACACTTCAGAAACAAACAGAAAGAGATAGAATACATTTCGAAGAAATTGCAATCTTACGATTGGAAAACGTACCCTCATAGATTCTTCTTATCTTAGATGACTTTGCTTCTCATCCTTTGTTAAAGAACAGAGAACAAGATAGTGTCGAATTCTTAAGAAGCTCAGACACTTTAACATCTCAGTCGTAATATGTGTACAGACAGCAAAGAGTTTAAGTAAGGATGTTAAAAGAATACTTACTGACATTATACTTTTCCCCGGATTGTCCGAAGACGATTTCATCAGGAACTTATGAAAGAGTCCATGGCAGGTAAGTTTGACAGACATGAACTATGGGAAAGTACAAAGTCATACAAGACCCTCATACTTCTTTCAGAATTCATATCTACGCAAACAAAGTTCAAATTGTAAAAAGTCAAGCGTAAAAATGTAAGTGTTTTAGTCTTAGTCTGTTGTGGTGCTGGGGCTGTCGGTTCTTCTGGCTTTGGAAGACATTCAGGAAGAGGAACGTCGGACATTCGTTTGTGTCCTGTCGGATGGAAGAACTTTTTCTGTCGGAAGGAAGGACTCGGAATGTCGGAAGGAAATTTTTTTCCAGTTGTCGGGAAATTTTTTCCTGTCTGAAGGAAAAATTTTTCTGTCGTTCGACCAAAAAGTTCTCAATTTTCGAAAATTTGAATGGTTTACGGACGAACAACAGGAAAATTTTTTCCAGTTGTCGGGAATTTTTTTTCCAGTTGTCGGGAAGGACTTGGAATGTCGGAAGGAAGAACTTGGAATGTCGGAAGGAAGAACTTGGAATGTCGGAAGGAAGGACTTGGAATGCCAGAAGGATTTGACAAGACAATTTACCTTATAGAGCTACCTGAGCCATCTGAAGTCAAGCTTGAAAAATAAATGGTTCATCTACCCTACTTGTTTGAAGTTGTCAAAATACTCTGTTATTTTTTCCTTTAACAATGGCAAATCTTCTTTGAAGGTAAGTATTGTACAACCTTTCATATCATAGTGTGTTTGAGGTAACGTATCTTGAACTATTTGTTTCACATCTTCATTTGGGGTCATTGAAATCGGTAAGTTTTCGCGATAGAACCAATTTCTGTTAGATTTGTAAATCTTAGCAAGGTCGTAAAAGCTTTTGTTGTTTCTTCTGACTAAATGCAACATAACCATATCTCTGTCTTCTTCATTTTCCATCTCTTCAGTATAAATCATATACTTATAGTTCTTTTCCTTACCTTTTGGTACCGAACGTGGTATTCTTTTCTGTATGGTTTTGTCTTTTGCTTCAATGACTTCATCTTTTGCTTGAAGTTTCTTTTCCATCTCTTCACGTTCTGCTTTATATAGTTCATCTAACATCATGAAAATATAACAAGCGTAACGAGGCGAAGCCCACATTGCAACAGCATTTACAAGAAGTCTATGAACATACCAACCTCTCAAACCATTTGGCAAATTTTTGACGATTTTCGTACGGAATCTCGACCCGCGGTTTTCTACCGGTCGCAAACATATGAGGAAATTCTTCTAAAAGTTCTTTTGTCTGTTGGTTTTCAACCAATGACGTGCTTGCTTTGTAGAACGAAGAGCATTCAAAATACTTTGCATTTGGTACATGTCATCCTTGACCGAACGAATGAGACGTAACTGTTTGTTATATTGTATGTACTCATATTCTTCATTTATGGCTTCATGAACGATAGCAGGTGTTGTGTTCTCTGATGTTGACATATCTGTCTTTACATACAAAATAAAAAAAATATTTTATAAAAAATTAGCGTTATTTTCTTACTTTCACAAAAGACCAAAAATAAACGCTTTACATGTATTTTTCAGCAACTTCGTCAAGAAGTCTGTAAATGTACCATGCATAACGAGGAGAAGCCCACATTGCTATTGAACTAACTAGGAACTTATGAACATATATACCTTTTAGATATGATGGTAAGTTTTGTCTGTCTTGGTACATCTTTTTAAGTTCTACATGTTCGAACTCACTCAAAAGTTCATGAGTGCTATTTAATTCAAACCAGTCTTGTGGTTTCTTAGTGTCTGGAGCAAAACATGCTGTCAAAATACTTTGCATTTGGTACATGTCATCCTTGACCGAACGAATGAGACGGAGTTGTTTGTTAAACTGTATGTACTCGTATTCTTCATCTATGGCTTCATGAACGATAGCAGTTGTTGTGTTCTCTGTTGTTGACATATCTGTCTTTACATACAAAATAAAAAAATAAATAAAAATAAAACTAACTTTATTTTTTCTATCTTAAGGAAATTCACGATTTTCATACGGAATCTCTTCTCTCGGTTTTTCCGAGGGAAGCAATCTTATGCCATTTTACTCAGATTTTTGGTCATTTTTCAGCAAAAATAATGTTTAGGGTAGAATGTTAGATCTAACATGTTTTCTAACCTCTTTTCTAACCTCATGAATTTTCATGATTTCATCGAAACTAAACGTAAATGTTTTGTCAAACATGAACATACATGTTTTGTCAAGACTTCTTCATCGTACATTCTTTGTCATGATTTCATCGAAACTAAACATACATGTTTTGTCAAGACTTCTTCATCGTAATGAGCGTAAATCAGACAAAAATATATTTTAGGGTAGAATGTTAGATCTAACATGTTTTCTAACCTCTTTTCTAACATGGTCTAAAACACACAAAACTCATGAAATTTCATACGGAATTCAGCAAAAATAATGTTTATGTTAGAATGTTAGATCTAACATGTTTTCTAACACGTTTTCTAACATGGTCTAAAACATACAAAATTCATGAAATTTGGTCATTTTTTTCAATAAAAATAATGTTTATGTTAGAATGTTAGATCTAACCTCTTTTCTAACACGTTTTCTAACATGGTCTAAAACACACAAAACTCATGAAATTTCATACAGAATTCAGCAAAAATATATTTTAGGGTAGAAGGTTAGATCTAACCTCTTTTCTAACCTCTTTTCTACCCCAGTTATTTTATAAGCGTTTTACATGGTAAACGTTATGAATTCGTGAGACTCTAAACAATTTTGTAGCTTCTATTTCTTCTGTCAGTACATCGAATGTTTTAACGATACCGAAAGTTTCTTTATACTTCTTCTTGACATCAGATAGAAGGAAATCTTCTGCAGTTGGATAGTTTTTGTTCAGAAATGCTAACATGTCCATTTTATCTTCTGCTGGCTTTTCTGCTTCTTTCTTTAAGTCTGCATAGTCGTTTCTCATACGTTCTATCTCTTTGACGGAGTAGTTATATTTCCTAATTGCTGCTTTACATTTAGAACATTGCGGGTTCATTTTTGCGTTATATTCTGAAACCTTACCTGCTAAAACAACTAAGGCGTCAATGGTTTTCTTTAACTCAAACATAGCGGGTCTTATTTGTTCGTTCCATACTTTGCCTCTTCTATCTTTATCTCTTATCTGCCATACACATTTTGCAACTAACGAAACAAAGTTGTCGTAGGTCTTAAATTCTTCAGATTTATATATGTCAGAGATGTTCTTATATACCATGTCGCAATCTTTGTCCATAACCTTATGGTTGCAATGAAATCCTAGAAACTCATAGTTTACCTTTCGTATGAACTTCTTTATTTCTACTGAGTCGGTTGTTTTTACTTCTATTTCGTCAAATTCGGGAATAGTAAGCTTTTGTTGTTGGATTTCAGGAAGTTTGGGTAGATGGTCGATGAGGTCCTGCATTTCATAAAGATACTGTTCATTTGTTTCATCTTTCGCACTACAGTCTAAATTATTTGTTAAAAGTTCTTGCTTTATCTTCTGGATTTTTGTTTCGAAAGTATATGAAGAAGGAATGAAGCTTTTCATCTCTACCAACATTGAAGTTGGGTTCATGACTAACGAGTTTGGTGCTGTTGTTGCTAACATGTTCTTACAATAAAAATAAAAAATATTTTTTTAAAAAAACTAACGTTATTTTTTATGTTTTTTGTGAAAGTGTCAAAAAATAATTGTTTTTGAGTTTTCTACGATGTTAGAAAACGTGTTAGAAAATGTTAGATCTAACATTCTAACATAAACATTATTTTTTGGTCGTTTACACTCATTACGAAGAAGAAGTTTCGACAAAACATTTACGATGAAGAAGTTTTGACAAAACATATACGAAGAAATTCATGAAAATTCAAGAGGTTAGAAAACATGTTAGAAAACATGTTAGATCTAACATTCTAACATAAACATTATTTTTGGTGTAAATTTCATGAAAATTCATGAGTTTTCTACGATGTTAGAAAACATGTTAGAAAACATGTTAGATCTAACATTCTAACATAAACATTATTTTTGTCGAAAAAAATGGTTCATTTACTCACAATATTTTTGTACAAAACGACCCCAAACTTTTAACTTCTTTTCTGCAGCTTCAAATGCTATCTTAGCGAGTTCATATTCTCTAAATTCTCTCTTTAAATCTTCTTGTTCCCATTGGTCTAGTTCGTATGGCGAGTCTCTATAACCAGAACATATCTCACGTTCATGTTCTATTTGTTTTTCATGCATTTTTCTAACTTCTTCTTCGAACAAAGGTTTTGCATTCTCTACTGTATCTTCAAGTTCTTCTTCATCTAATTTCTCATGAACTTTCTTGTCTATGGAGTCCAAAATTTTCCAACTGCTATACAATATTTTGGAGAAGCCCACATTGCTATATAGTTTACAAGTCTTGGGTCTACATACGTTCCTCTAACCTGTTTGATTTCATCAGGAATTCCTGCATGAATTTTGTATAAAAACAACCGCCGGAATTCCGACGGTTGCTATATTCTTCACAAAATGCCTTAAAATACTCTTCCAGGACTTATTTTCCAACAACTTTCTAAAGTCTTTCCTAAACTGCTGACACATATTTGTTGCATTTATATAACCATCCTTGTCTCTACGTAAGACTTCAATACCGTTGTAAGTGCCTTTTGTGAATGTTTCGCCATTAGATTTGTTCGTGAACGTTTTTGCTTCGACTGTCATACTGTTCTTACAATAAAAATAAAAAAATATTTTTTGGTGGGACGTCGGACATTCGTTTGTGGCTTAACCGTCGGACCACAACGATAAAAATCTCGACAAAACATATACGATGAAGAAGTCTTGACAAAACATATACGATGAAGTCTTAACAAAAAATATACGATGAAATCTATTTCCTGTGTTGTTGTCAAAATGTCATGTTGTCACACTTTTTCAGAGAAGTTAAAATGACCGAGTGACATGGTGACACCTTCAGTAAACATCTCATTTTAACTCACTTTTTTTCTATCTTAAGGAAATTCATGAAAATTCACCTGTTGAACTTTGTATAAAAAGCAACCCGCTGTTTTCCGCGGGTTGGTATATTCTTCACAAAATGTTTGTTTTGAGGTCGAGCCACTTTTGGCTCCACCGTATTCTTTCAACCAAAAACTCATTTTTGTCGAATTCAGCACAAATTCATGAAAATTCAAGAGGGTAGAAAAGAGTTAGAAAAGAGGTTAGATCTAACCTTCTACCCTAAAAGTATTTTTCAATACTTTTTCAGCACTTTTCCGTAGTTGTATATGAAAGACAATTCGAGATAAAAGTCATAGTACAATGGAATAATATGCTGCACACCGTTTGTTGTGAACCAAACTTGAAAGTCAGAGAAACTGTTACTAGGGGTTCGTAGAATTTAGAAGCAAATCATAAAAGTCCTTACAATACAAAGAAAACTATTGTTGCTTGAACTGAAACTTGCATGACATATAACATTTTGAGGGTCGAACACGTTTCTATAAACTGTCAAATCTGCTGGTGGAAGTATAAATTTAAAAGGACCGTCAGGTGGTAATGGTTCGTTCTGGTTTAGTAACCGAAGAAATTGTGCCAAGAACGTTTGTCTACTTGCCAAAATAAAAACTGTGTATCTCTTGGAGGGTTATTTTCAATCCTTTGAAATGAAACTGTGGAGTTCATCTTGTCATATTCTAGTTTCAGATAGTAAGTTCCGTTTAGTAGAGAGTCATTTTTCTTTGCAATTCCCAATAATATTTGTTCATTTGAGTTTGAAAGTCATTTAGAGTCTTCTCAAGGTTTTCGTCTGAACGAACTGTAAAGATTCTCATTTCGTCAAATTTGTCTATTAGACCATCAGAATCTTTATACTGCCCATGAAAATATACTGCGAACATAAATGCGTTAGTTCTTTTTGAAAACAAAACTCTTCTAAATCCTATTGCCTTTGCATCTGAAGGACTTTGAAGCCAACGAATTGGATAGTCAAACCTGTAAGCACCGGATGAAATTTCTTCATCTGATATAGTCCTACCGGCATTTGTGAAGATATAGTCTAACGGTTTTGTATCTACTACT